CTGATTAAACTAATCATTTATAATCACCAGGTTAGGTATTGGCCATACTTAGATACTTGCCACTCATTATAGCCAACACCCATATTTTACAAATAATTAGTATTACATTTTTTACAAGGAAGAAAAAAAAAGAAATATATATATATATATATATATATATATATATATATACGTGAAGAAAAAGAGATAAAATATTCAAAAAGATAAAATTTTGATTTCCTCATTCTTCGCTTTGACCAAGAGTGGAGGGATGTGAAAATTTGACACAATTTCAAATTCTCTCTTTTAAAAAAAATAATAATAATAAGGGTTGTTTTCATCTATTATTCTTTTGTCAATTAAGCAACCATTAAAGAGAGAAAAAATACTTCCATCTTAAATAATTAATTTTAGAATATCCAACAAATCAACAAAGTTTATCTATAAGTGACGTCGTATTAAAATCTGTAGACTTTTAACTAAATGACATTTAAAAAAAATGAAATTTTTTTGGTATGTTATCGCCTCAAATGGCATATCATGTGGTTTTTTAAAATATGACATTTAAGATGTTATATTTGGTATCTACTTATTTTCAATCTAAAAAACATGTAAGATAGTAAAAAATGATTTTAGAGTGCTTTTAAAGTTTCTCATCTTGTTTGGTGAGATACATAAAATACCTTCTAAAAAGTTTTAAATACTTTCAACAGCACTTAAACATTTTTTTTTCCTTTCAATTGTATTATGCTTTTAGTACTTCTCTATAAGCCACTTAACAAACTCCAATCAATCAAATAGATGTTGGAATATACTTTTTGAGCTTACCAAAATCCTGTTAAAATTGTTTGATAAAATATACTTGCCTACACATCAGTAGGACTTCCACGACTTTTTTTTATTTTGTTATTATTGTTGTTAATATAACAACACTAATAAAACCATGTGGGATGAATTCAAACTCATGACTTGTTGATCGGAAATAAGTGTCTTAACTAATTAAGTTCAAGTTGACCTAACTTTCTGATTTCATTGGTCTTATTTCTATTATATTAATAACACTCCACATAAGTCGATTAAAGCTCCTAGTGGATGTAAGCAAGTACTTTTCTTTGTTTGATTCCATGCTAAAATGAGTCGTAAATGTGTTCTTTTTAACATCATGTTGACCGTTATGTTGTTAGGTATATAAATACAGAAGATTATGAAGGTGGTTTCGACAACTCGGACATAGAGCAGATCATTGCAAATATTGAATCAAACTACGAGAATTGGGCTACAAACTTTTCTTCTCTGGTTGTGGACGAATCCGATCCTGTCTCGCTGGGCAGGTTTCAGAAGTGCTTGCACGAGATGAGGCCTGAAGTTGCAGTAAGCTTGGCCAAGACTGTTTTCTGCTCAGACGAGAGAGATGTTCTTGAGAAGGTCGACATTCCATGCACCATCGTACAAACTAAAACCGACATCGTCGTCCCGGCCTCGGTTGCTACCTATATGCAGAAGAAGATTAAGGGCAGTTCCACAGTGGAAGTTATAGACACCCAAGGCCATTTCCCTCACTTAACCGCACACCTCCAGTTGCTTCAAGTTCTTGGAGCAGTCTTGGGCTTTTGACCCTTCTCTTTCTTTTCTTTTGGAGTGGGGTCAGAAAAGGAAATGAATAATAAGTCAGTGTGAAATTTAGTGTGGAAATTCATAGTGTTGCTGGAGAGTAGATGAAATTAAGATTGTTTTCATGTAATGGCTTTCAGGTGTAATTGGTTAGGTATTTTCATCCAATAGATCTACCAAGCTTAGTCTCTCGGAGTTTGTTTCAAGTTCAAAAGATGGAACTATTCTATACTACACAGCCAGGTAAGTTAGTTTGTTTGGCTTCACAAATAGAAATACATCTCATAAGCAAGAAAATTCTGGGGAAAAAATAAGCAATGTACACCATCCGAGTTCAATATGTAACCTGATTTCTCTCATCAATAAGTAGGCCGGCGAATGATTTTATTTAGAAACAGGTTCCACTTCTCAAGCTCTGCAGTAACTCCAGGTACCCTGAACTTTCGGGATAAATGTACCTGCAGGTTTCAAAAGAAAGACATTAATGACAGACGACTGTAGACTTTTAAGGACGCTTGAGAAGTAGTCGTTATTAACTTATTGGAATTGGCCATATAGATGGGGAAGAGGATCTTATGTCAAAATCATCAGGTCAGGACATGGTTTTAAAAAAATGGCCTACCAGTCCACCTATCTTAACAATATTTGGTAATCTAAAATTATAAGTGATTCAGCCAAATTGTCGGGTTTACCACTTTTCGGAAGTCTTAAGATCAACACTGAGCATAGTTCCCTAGTCGCAACTCATGACTAAACTCAGTTGAAAATTGGAATTTTCACTCAAAAAAAAGAACAGACCAACACTGAATAGTAATTTAAGCAGATAATGGTCGTGTAATAAATGTAGAATCCTTGAGAAAATAGTGTATATAATATACCCATGTCGAAATAGGAAATCAATGATGACAAGAGAACAATTAGGCTTGAATAACTGCGTCCTCCGTATCACATTTGCAACATTTGTGACAGGCAACAACATGAATCCTTCAACCTCACCATCTGCCGAAAGTTTAGTCAGCAAGTTAGAGGCATGAAATTTCTAAATGTACAAAGATATGTATTGAACATAATATAAACAGTATGTATACCGGGGGTGGGGCAAAAAAGAGAGTTATTAAGAGCCATTCTAGATTTAAATGCAACGTAACATATCTAGTAAGATACATTTTGAATAATGATGTAAACAAAAATTTGTCAGGTTAGCTAACCTTGATTCTCTGGTATAAAGCTTTCAGGAAGCTTTAAATCGTAACAGAATTGAACATCTCTCTTGTAAGTGTGACCTTTAATGTCTGAATATGAAACGGCACCAACTGGTATGGCCCTAAGACAAAAACATATCATGAAGCCACCACCACAACCATGAATATAAGGTTAATGGTATCATGAAATTATCATAAAATTCTTAGGAACTTACTCATTTGATAATGATCTCGGTATGCATGCTTCCTCCTCACATTCCTTCATTAGATTCTCAACACAAGGGATGCCCTGAGGCTATTACTATCATAATGTCAGAGACTAGCTACAAAAGCACAATAAGCATGATGCTCGGCACATTTCTAACATTTATAACTTTTCATCTACTTGACTAGTAGAAAAGAATACTTTTAATGTCATGTAACATTCCTTTTTCAATTTCAATGACCTTATTGAAAAATGGTTTAAAGACCCGTCGATATATTAACCTACTGGAAAGTACTTAGGTCTAACATCTAGCTGAAGAAAATTAAAAGGAACAGAATGCTTTATACCATCCAATCATGAAGAAAAGAAGAAAAAGAGAATAGCCTTCTATTTTCACATTTTAACGAGACAGAAGCACATGCAAGGAAACTAAGCAATATTTAGCAATTATTTGTTATATACCAGCCCTCCAGCTACTAAATGATCCAGCATTCCAGGAAAGGTTTGCTTCGTTTGACTTCTTTTTGCTACCCACAAAAACTTCTTTCCCTCCTTCTCAACATAACCATTCATATGAACTCCATAAACCTGTGCTAAGAAAAGCGCCAAAGAAGGCAGGTAGAAGTTAGTGAAACCCGGTATTGGAGTAATAAAATTTTCAGTAATCTACAACCAGGCGGCCAGTTTCTGTCTCCGACAGGCATGTTCAACAATAAATTGCCCTTCAATGTACAGGCTCTTTTTAATAGACAAGTGACATAATTTACTCACTTTGTATGAACAACATCAGATAACAGTAGGATAAATACTACTGAGTCAAATCCCAAACATAAAGGGTTTCAAACACCATAGCATCGAGTAAAATTCTAGATAACCCTTCAAAAAGTTTCACTTAACCTGCAAAATTATATATAAAGGAAATTCCCTCTTAAGCTTATTCTTCAAGGCATTTCCCTATCATTTTCTAATGAACCAATACATTGTTCATCTTCTCCAGACTGAAGCCACATTAAAGAAAATTCTTTATTCTGGCAAGTAACAAGGATATGAGATCCAAAAGGAATATAAAAAAGAGAAAACAAGAAAAGTTCCAACAGAGGCCAAAAAGGGTTACAAAAGGCTCTCAAATTGGCTTATTTAAAAAAGGAAGAACAATTACAAAAGATGTCAAGCTGAGACCGATTTCCTCCATATTTCCCCTGCCTGTCGTAGAAACTGTCTATAAAAGTCCACAAGATTAAAACATAGCAATCACTACATTGACAACAAGGTTTTTCTGTCCTGAGCCCAAAATGTTGAATGGGAACGATGTCCTGCTACAACTTTTGAGAGAGGAATTCCAAGGAAAGTTACAAGTAGCTCCTGAGTCCTGATTTTCAGTCTTTCAGTGTCCTTATTGCAACCTTTGAGGAGATATGGTTAAGCTGAGCTTTTTCTTTTAGGTTCTGTTGGATAAATTAACTTTTGCATGAGCAAGCGAGGGACCACAAGAAAAGTCTGATTTTTGGGGAAATTTTAATTTCCGTACAGTTTATTATTGCAAACACTGCAGGAAGGGAATCGCTCTGTGGCTGCAGGACAGGTATCGAACATGGTGGTAAGGTGATCCACAGACTCTCAAGAAAAGATACTAGATTTATCCAGGTTCCAAACCCTACAATCCTCTCATCATGCAAGGAGTAAAGGCAACAATTTAAGTAAAGGAATCCATTCCCAATCTCCCTAGCATTAGAATTCCCTCTTATATCACTTTTTCATTCCTCTTTTATACATTTCTGTTGGTTAAGTTATACAGTCTTAGAAATTTAACAAAGAGGTCTGCAGCTTCTCCAAGGAACCTCCCAAAAATTAACCTTAACATGATCACAACCTTGAGAAGGTAGGCAGGATAAATTTTAATGTGTTACCAACTTACCATGGGCAACTAGGACTACTTTGAGGGCTATTGCACAAAAGTAGGCACGTCTCATTATATCATTCTTGCAGGAAATTTATTCCCAATATGAATTCTGTGTATCTATGTTTTTTGAGAGTGCGTGTGAGAGTATTTCTAAGTTTCAACCAACGGAAGGTTGAGTTTAGTCCCATATAAAAGCAGGGAAGAAGAAAAATAAAAATGATGTCGATCTTGCCATAGAGGTGTGTCAAAATAGCTGCTGAAGAAACATAAAGGAGGTAAAACTAGAAGAAAAATGCTGGTGGATTTTATTGGGTGCCACACTCCACGATTTAACTTTTGAACAAGGCAGGAGATGAGCACGTGTCTATAAGGAGTATTTACAGAAATAATGTAGTCGCCAAGTAAAATTTTTCTAGAACTAGTACCAGAATGATGTCTGCCAAAACATCAGTTACTTCGAATATTGTACGTATATACAGAACGTATTATTGGTTCAAATTTTATTTGGACCTAAAAACCAAACTTGTATAAACAGATTTCGACAGATCAAATGGCCTGCAATTTTCAAGGGGCTAAATAAAAGGCTGGATCAAAATATGGCTTTCAAATCATGTAACAGAAAATTAGAACAAGAATTATAAGTTTCCACAATGCTGTAGAAGGTGAACATTCGCACCTTTATTCCAAAATAAGGAGCTGCAGCACGTTCGAGAGAGAAAAAGTTTGGCGCACCAAAGGACGATGTAACAGGGTATAGCTGACAGAGTTCATGGTTATCCACAGTTAGCCTCAATAAGTATTACCTTGCTCTAAATTTACCTATCTAAAAAGGACCAGCCTATTTTGAGCATTAAACAGAAGAAGGCGATTATCTTTTAATATACAAGACATATTGAAAATTATTGAAATCATTGATTTGAATTGGAATCACAAACAGTACCTCGTTCCGTGTACCTGGAATAATTTCTTCACCCAAGCATTTGACTACATCTCCAACTGCTTGTGTCCTATCTTCGGGTGTTTTCAACGATTCATGCAAGGTTAAGTAAGCGCGAAATTGAACAGAATCATCCCCGGAGAAGGTAAACACATTCGCATATTGCTTCAGGTGTTCAGCGAAACTGCATAAAGTACATTAAAATATACTGATCGAACCTATCCGTTGTATATAGCAACCATACACAAGCCAAGTACAATGAAATGGGCGCAAATAAATGGTATTGACGATACAGATGGAGTGTATCCAGAAAGATGTAACATAGGAGCCTCACCCGTGGTGCACGTAGCCAACAATTTGATCATCGACGACAAACGGAAGAAATTCAGATTGCATATCCTGTTACAAGATTTAATCAATTCCAAAATGTAAAATGAATTCAAGCGTTCAATTGCTGCGCGAACCTATAACTTCCGTCTTCTGTTTGTACAACAAATCAAAAAGAAAAGGAGAAAGAGACCTACTGATCCACGATTGCAGAGCTTGACCTTCTCGAAATAGCCTGTGAGATCTGAAGGATCATCCTGATAGATTTCTGGTAAAGAAATGCGGAGAACGTCGTCCCAAGTGAAACTGCTGGCGACCGACACAGAACGGGAGGCGACTGATATCGAGCGGTGTACTACTGTTGGCCGAAATGTAGACGCCATTGGATACGTCGTCCGGGAAATTGTGGAAGCATTGCAATTGGAAGAGATAGTGGAGAAGTTACGAAACCTGTGACTGTGTGAAGCGAGAGATTTGCAGGCCATGAATTGGATTGGAGCCATCTTTCCAGAACTGGAACTACTGTAGCAAATCTATAATCTATAATATATTAAAAACTCAACATTTTCGCATTATACCCTTTTAATTTTCCCTTAATTATAAAACCAATAACTCAAATTAATTTTAATCTATAAAGTTAAACCAATATCACACAGTAAGTATAGATTGAACCATGCATCCTTTACTTTTTTCTTAATTATAAACCAATAATTCAAATTAATTTTAATCTATAAAATTGAACCAACATCACACAGTAAATATAGATTGAACCATGTGTGAACTCATGGTAAGAAGCAAGATAGACTCGTCAGTCATAGATTCTAAATATCCAAAGAAATATGGCAGAATCTCCCTCAAAATACACTTTTGGTGCTGAATTTGAGATTAGGTTTTTATTTAATCTCTGAATTTCAAAAAGAGACAATTTTGTCCATGACCCTTAGAACATAATTTTAAAAGTTCTCATTTCTATTAAGAAATCACTTCTACCAAACGAATCCTAAAATAACTATGTTGTTTATTCATTCCTTGTATATTTGGAAGTCAGCTCGAACTCATTTTTATTTCTTGCCAGTGAGATAACCATTTTCTTTCCTTTTCTATGAATTATGATCCCTGCATTCCTTGTATTGCTTAAATGACCATTTTTAGACTAAAAGAAACTAGCAATTTTATATTCGATTAAGCTTTTGGCCATTTCGTTCATATTATGGGAGATGAGAGAGGATAACATAGGTTATGTCAAATACTTAGCAAGAAGAATTGGCTCTTATGTTAGACTCGGTTCATTCTTACAACAACAAAAAAAAAAAAAAAAGGTAAAATTACGTTTGGTAATATTCTCAAGAAAAAAAACAAAGAAATATTAGTAAATTAAAACATATATCCACACATTCCCTAACTCAAACCAGTTTCAAAGATGAAACTGCAGGCCTCATCTACTTACAAACACTTAAAAGGTCAACAGAATTAAGATTTGTGCCGACTCCGAAAAAGCATTGGGATTTTTAATGCACCATTTTTTGTTTTTCTTTTAAATAGATTTTTAATGCACCATTGTATCCCGAATATAAATTAAATAATTAAATGTACCCGATCTATTTACTCAGTTATAAGTGGATTTAAACTCTGACCTTTGCTATCTACGAGACAACATAACTGGGTTGGGTGGGATGTGAAGAAACGGAAATATAGCATGCATTCCCCTTGCTTGGTACTAAGAGGTTTCATTCCCCTTATCGAGATATTGATATTAGGAGTTGGGTACTTGAGACAGGAAATGCATCCATTCCATCCATGTACGTATCAAAAACGGATGGAGGTCATCAGACAACCTATCTGAACCGGTGATCAAGTAAGGGAAACTCGATGCAACAATTTATAAATGTCTCAATGTTTTTTTTAATGGTCTGAATATTCAAAAACTAAGACCATTCCAATGCTCCTTTTCGCATGTTAGGATAAGCACGAAAATTAAAGCTTCTATAAAGACGGATACCCAATCCATATAGAAATACTAAAAATGCAGTAATATATACTCAAGTAGAAGTTCTACCTCAAAGCCATCACCATCATGGAATACCAGCAAGCACTCGAGCTTGGAACGTTATGATGGGAGAGTTTAACAGGGTTCCATTTGCTTGACTTCAAGGGTGAAGTAATATATTATACCCTGAACAACTCATGAGTTGTTTTTACCATCTTCACAAATTCAAAGGTTGTATCCTATATTCATAATAAATATCATCAAACTATTTCTAATGAGAATGCCACAAGAAATACATTTTGTTTGTTGCAATAGTTAACGGCTCTCTCTGCTAATTCTTGAAGCTCCTTTGAATGTAATCGACCGCTAGGTATAAGGCAAATAAGACCCAAATTAAAAGTGTTGGGGAAAGAGGGCATATCAAAACCCTGCATTCATACATATAATAAAAAGATAACAAATAATTAATAAAACGAGAGGGAAATAAGAATATAATTAAGAGAAGATGAGGAAAACCTCAGTTTTCTCCCATGCAAGAGAGTATTTTATCCACTCTTCATCAGTCATCTCACGAAGGCCACAGAGAAAAGTACAACTATCCTCACCAGCAATGCTTGAACTTGAAGAAACCATAAAAAATATTTGTAAGAAAGACAAAAAAAAATTAATTAACGAGATCGCTGTGAACATATGAATTATAACAACTTACGATAATATTTATTTGGAACTGCCTAAAATGTTATGCACGAGTGAAAAATATTATGACACTACCCTCATAAATAAAATATGAACTTTTACAAAACATTTATACTTACATCCATTCTAAACAGTAGAGTGAAATCTTTAGGATTTGACGGAATCCGAATTTGGCACCTAATTGTCCTAACATTCCTCCGCACCCTATACGATTTACACTTATAAATATCTTCTTTCCGGTTGTATTGGTTTACACTAACGAGATATGAATCAAAGTAGGAATATTTATTTGAAATAGTCTGATATGTACGAGTGAAAAACATAATAATACAGTGAAACAAGATTAAGACAGAGAAAATAGCCGGTGCATATATGGAAGGAACCAAGCAACACAATTGGTAAAATCCAAATTTCAATGTCGTCTATGACTAATTATAAATTTGACAACAAGAACTAGAAGAAACGAATCTCATTTTGTTTGGGCCTCAACAATTGCTTCAAAGAAGATTCTATCCTAAAAGATTAAGAAACACGTCAACCGAAACCATAATCGTTCAAGTAGAGAAAACAGAATAATTTGCAATACCAAATTTCTTGAATTAATGATTTGGCGATGAGTTAAAGAGTATAGACGAAAGAAAGAGAGGGGAAGGTTTCGAAATTTCAACTGTTGAGAACAAAACCCTAATCACGTAAAAGAAATGGTAAATAGCTTAACTCTATTATTTTTCTCTTAAAAGAAATGGTAAGTCTGAATGGTAAGCAAAGTTTGATCAATATTTAAATTATTTCACCGAATCAAATTAGATGTAATTTGTAGACCAAGTCGAGACAAATCACTAAAAGTAGTTTTAATTCCAGAGCTGCGGCGGGCGACGAGAAATTTCTGGAGGAAAATCGGGAATGGAGGATTCGGGTCCGTTTATTTTGGGGAGCTTGGAGATGGGTCTCTAGCTGCGGTGAAGAAATTGGAGAGAATGGGGAGATTTGGGTCTCCTTCTTTGATGGGCATCTGTGTTTAGATCTATCTGCAGAGGCAGTTTTAGCCCATCAAATTAGAGAAGCGGGACGAAGGATGGGGGAGAGAGAGGAGAAAAGAAAAATAATATAAAATCACATTAGCACTTTGAGACTGATTTTGACTTCACCCATCTTTGATAACCATTTTCAAAGATCTACTTTACCCTAATAATAAAAGAGTTGGGAATTTTCAAGATTTCAGGATTTAAGACCCAATTTATTTTTTTCTACCACAAAATGTAAAGTGGAGGATTGAAGGAGTGTTTTATCCATCAAATATGTTGGAACTAGAGTCAATTAGCTGATAAAAGTTTTTCTTAAAAACATAACAGTTTCGGATTAAATCTCTTTGGAAAGAAAATCTTCATTTTCGATCAAGACCATACAAAGTTAGAATGCCAAAATTTCACTGACTTCACTAAATCTTGATTTCACTGCACTCAATAAGAACTCAAAATACCAGTAATAGATTTATGTTCTTATAAAGTCAGTCATCTTTGTCCAAGTATGAACACTCTCCTGTATGTGCCAACCTAACTCAAATGAGAAGAGGGTCAGCCAAACAGCAACCTTACAAAACTTTTAGTATGGGAGAATGGAAATTGAACCTTCGATTGAGAGAGAAATTAAGTATTTTATCTACTAAACTAGATCAGATTAGCTTAGCCACTTGGTGTTTGTTTCAAAGTTCAATTGGGTCAATACGGATAAAATGTGGTACTAAAATGATGAAACTAATTTTATATTCTACGGCCATGTAAGGCCAGTTTGTTTGTCTTCACAAATACACCTACTGATCGAGCAAATTCTGGCTAAACAACAGACAGTATAAACCATCCAAGTTCGATGTTTAATAAGATTGACCCGATTCCTCTCATGGAGTAGGGCGAATGAATTTATTCAGAAGCAAGTTCCACTCTTCAAACTTTGTAGTAGCTCCAGGTACCCCAAACTTTCGGGCTTAATGCACCTGCAAGTTTTAAAAGAGAAAAAAATGTATATATTAACTACAAACAACTATAAACTTTTATGGATGCCTTGAGATGGACTACATAGATGGTAAAAGATTTAATACCAAAATGATCAGGACCTGGAGGAAAGAAAAATAAAACAACAATACTTGGGTGTTCTATCTTCACACTTGCTATTAACAAAAATTTGACAGTTCTTTTAATTTATCTAAAAACAAAACAAAAATCTCCTTTTCTACATTTCTACCTCCTACCAAAATTTTAAGGTTAGTGAAAGGGTAAAAGAACTAGTATAGTATACCGTAGTACCACCAGTCTTGATGAGAAATTTTGTACCCACGAGGCACCGACAATTTGGTTAAATCCACAAATATTTATCGTCAAGACCAACACTAGGGGTTGTAATTTAAGCAAATAATGGTCGTGTAACAAATGTTAAATGTACAGCCATAGAGAAAATAGTATATAATACCCATGTCGAAACAGGAAATCAATGATGACAAGAGAACAATTAGGTTTGAATAACTGTGTCCTCCGTATCACATTTGCAACGTTTTCCACGGGCAACAACCTGAATCCTTCAACCTCCCCATCTGCCAAAAGTTTACTCAGCAAAGTTAGCGGCATGAAACTTCTAACTATACAATGATATGTATTGAAAATATATACATGCATTCATACACCGCGGATGGGACAAAAATATAGAGTTATTAGGATAATGTAGACTAAAATTATCAGGTTAGCTAACCTTGATTCTTCGGTACAAAGCTTTCAGGAAGCTTTAAATCGTAACAAAATAGAACATCTCTCTTGTAACTATAATCCTTGATGTCTGAATAGGAAACGGCACCAACTGATATGGCCCTAAAACAAAAGCATTGTAAAGGCACTAGGTCTACCACAGCCATGTAATAAAAGGTTATACTGGCATGAAATTATGATTAAGTTCATGTTAGGAACTTACTTATTCGATATTGATCTTGGTATGCCTGCTTCCTCCTCACATTCCTTCCTCAGATTTTCCCCACAAGGAACACCCTGAGGCTGTCACTATCATAATGTCAGGGGCTAGCTATAAAGGCACAATAAGCATGATGTGTTCGGCATCCAAGTGCACGTTTCTAAATAACATGTTTGTGCAGACTCTAAACTGCTCTTCTTAGGAAATTATCAAATTTCACGCCTTGGCCTTGACCAAAAATTCCGGTTGTTTAGTTAGGGTTTATTACAAAGTTAATAAATGTGTTAGTATCAGAACCTATCTAATTTTGTTATTAATTATCCCAACTTATGGTCCAAATTGAAAGCCAAACAAATAAAAATCAATTGCTGTTGCCTTCCTTAACTAAGTTAAACTAAATAGGCAAATGCATATAAAGAAACGTAATAAGAGAAAGTATCTTCATATAACTGCAAGCTTCTGGCAAACATATTTCTTTTCAAGTTTGAGGTTCAAAACAATATACCACAATTTTGTTGTACTATTAAAACTTAAAAAGAAAAATACTAAACGTATCTAGCAGAAGAAACAAAAGGAATAAGAGAACCAATCATCCAGAAAGCAAACAAAAGTCTCATCCTCAGTCAATCGGAAGACATTTCAGGGCTATGTTTGAAAGATGAAAGGAGTATGTGATCAATGACATCAAATCATGAAGAAAAGAGGAGGGAAAACCTTTTTCTTTTCACATTTTAACAGGACATACGCATATATGACATGACATGCAAGAAAACTAAACAATAGTTAGCTAATATTACAAACCAGCCCTCCAGCTACTAATTCATCCAACATTCCAGGAAAAGTTTGCTTCATTTGACTTCGTTTTGCTATCCACAAAAACTTTTGTCCATCCCTCTCAACATAACCATTCATCTGAACTCCATAAACCTGTGATGAGAAAAGCACCAAGAGAAGGCAGGTGGAAGTTAGAATAACTAAGCAGTGGAATAAATATTTCCAGCAATGTAGGTGGGTATTGAATAGTATTGTAAATATTATTTCAGATTTTGTATTTATATTCAGAATGACGATCAAATATTAACTGGTTTCAAATTTATCGAGACCTAACAACCAAGCTTATATAAACAGAGTCCATACAACATATAGCCTGCAATTTTGAAGGACCTAAATAGAAAGCTGGATCAAAATAAGGGCTTCAGATTTTGTTACGGTAAATTAAAACAAGAAAGAATAAGTTTCCACAATGCTATAGAAGGGGAACATTTGCACCTTTATTCCAAAATAAGGAGCTGCAGCACGTTCAAGCGAGAAAAAAACCGGTGCACCAAAGGACGAAGTTACAGGGTATAGCTGACAGAGTTCACTTGAACACAGTTAGCCACAAGGCACATTATCTTGTTCTAAAAAGGACCAGCTTATTTTGAGCATTAAACTGAGGAAAGGCAATTGTATTTTATATACAATCTCACAGTTGCAAACAGACAGGAAGTGAAAAGTATTGAACCATTTATTTAAATCATAAGCAGTACCTCATTCCGTGTACCTGGAATAACTTCTTCGCCCAAGCATTTGACTACATCTCCAACCCCACGCGTCCTATCTTCGGGTGTCGTCAAAGATTCATTCAAGGTTAAGTAAGCGCCACATTGAACAGAATCATCTTGGGGGAAGGTAAACACATTCGCATACTTCTTCAAGTGTTCGGCGAAACTGCATAAATTACATTGGAACAAACTGATAGAACCTATCCGTTGTATATAGCAATAGTACACAAGCGAAGTTTGATGAAATTAGTGCACATAAACGAAGTAGACTACATGGACAGACAATATCTTCAATGCATGCTGTGTATTACGAGACATATAGCAGTAAGAACCTCACCCGTGGTGCACGTAACCAATAATTTGGTTATCGATGACAAACGGAAGAAACTCGGATTGCATATCCTGTTAGAAGATTTAGTCAATTCCAAACAGACATGGAACCACATTTCATCAGTCTATAGCTTTTCCTGCGCTGAATTCGAAGTGTAAAACGAATTAAAGCGTACAATTGCTACCGGAACGTAGATACTTTTGTTAATACAGCCAAACAAGAATAAAAGAGGAGAAAGACACCTACTGATCCGCGATTGCAGAGCTTGACCTTCTCGAAGTAACCCGTCAGATCTGAGGGATCATCCTGAAAGCTTTCTGGCAAAGAAATGTGGAGAGCGTCTTCCCAAGTGAAGCTGCTGCTGGCGACCGATACAGAACCCGAGGCGAAAGTTATTGAGCGGTGAACTGTTGGCCGAAATGTAGATGTTGTTGGAAACCTCGTCCGGAGAAACATGGAAGCATCGCAGATGAAAGAGATAGCAGGGAAGTTACAAAATCTGTGTGGAGCCAGAGATTTGCAGGCCATGGGTTGAATTGAAGGAGAGGCCGCCGGAACTACCCGAGCAGATAGCGAAAAAGTGAAATGTGGTCGAGTGATAAGATTTCTGAATATATATATATATATATTTTTAGTACAAAGATTTTTCTATAATTAAAAGATACTTTCTATAATTAATTTAACCCTAAACGCCGTTAAACAAGTCGTTGAACTTTATATTTTAAGAGTAGCTAAACTTGAAACTATTAGTTTTGAAACTTTTAATTTTGTGCCTAATAGATCATTTACATATTTGATATTGTCTTTGTCGGGTCGTGAATTGGGTTACTTCTGTGCAGATTTGATAACAAATATTTGTCTCTTCCATTCTTAATATATAATTATTAACTGTGTTCTAAATAGCTTGTGTCGATGCGTGGATTTCGATCCTCCGGTTCACTACCTCGCATCCACCAAACTTGTTGATCCGGGACTAGTACCTGTAAAATCAAGTGGAGCTAAACCGGTGTGACTCTAATCACACGGGCTCCGATGCTTAAGTTAACAAGAGAATAACGTAAATGTAGTCAACTCTCTCCCCCATACCTCTAAAGCTGGATCAATACTTATAGCGTGAAGTTGTTCCAGAATCTTCCGTAGCTAACCCTAATCCACCGTTGCAGGGTCTGGGCGACATCGTCGATCGAAGACGGGGGATCACTGGCTGGGCCGTGGGCAGAGCACCGGGTCGGGGTCGAGCCCTTCGTGGCTCGATGGGCTTCCCTCTGGTCGCTTTCCTCGTTCTCTGCCCCGGCGTTAGGTCACTCTTTTGGCCGGCCCGTTATGTCCCGGGCCGGTCTTCCCCAATCAGACTTCAACTCCTTGTCTC